ATTTTATATGTACCAGTTTAATTCCTTTATTGATTACATACACATATCACACACATAAATTATATGTATATTTAGTGGTTGTACTGAAGATTACAATATGTATCATAACTTGGAACAATATACTTCAGATCAATACTAACTAAATCCTAGTAGTATATAGAAACCTCTTCAGTATTGCTTCCTTTCTTCCCCTCTCCTTTGTGATATTAGTGTCATATATATTATACTTTATATTGTTATAAGCCAATCATTTCATAGTTATTGTCTTATGCAGTTGTATTTTAAATCAATTAAAAGAGAAAAATTCATTTTATTGTATTTTAAATTATATATGTAACTACTTTTACCAATATTCTTCATTTTTCATGTGGATTTGAATTATATTCTAGTGTCATTTCCTTTTAACCTTCAGTATTTCCTAAAAGGTAGATGTGATAGCAATGAATTATCTGTCTTTATTCATGTGAGAATGTCTTTACTTTGTCTTCATTATCAAAGGTTAGTTTTTCTGGACATAGAATTATTAGGTGACAGGTTTTTTTTCATTGAGCACTTAAAATACATTATCCTCATGTATTCTGGCCTTCATTGTTTCAGATGAAAGTCAGATGTTAATTTTTTTGGTGGGCCCCTTGTATAATATGAGTAGTTTTCCTTTTTCTGCTTTTAGGATTTTCTTTTTGTCTCTACCTTTCCACAATTCGGTTATGATGTGTCTCATTGTGTTCAACCTACTTAGAGTTTGATGAACTTCCAGGATATGTAGACTCATGTTTTATGTCAAATTTGGAAAGTTTTTTTGCCATTATTTCTTCAAATATTTTTCTGCCCCCCCTTTCTCTTTCCTTTACTTCTGAGTGGGGCTCCCATTAGGCATACATTAGCATGCCTGATGGTGTCCTCAGGTCTATAAGTCTCTTTTTACATTTTTTTTTTTCTGTTCTTCATCCTGGATAATCTCTATTGATCTATCTTCAAGTCTGCTTATTCCTTCTCCTGCCAACTCAATCTGCTATTGTTCTCCTCTTGTGATTTTTTCATTTTATTCATTGTACTTTTCAACTCCAGAATTATTACTTTTTTTTAAAGAGAAATGTTTAACCTCTTTATTTATATTGTCTGTTTGGTGATT